CAGGGCTGTGCCGGGGCTGTGCCAGGACTGTGCCAGGACTGTGCTGGGACTGTGCCAGGACTGTGCCAGGACTGTGCTGGGACTGTGCCAGGGCTGTGCCAGGGCTGTGCCGGGACTGTGCTGGGACTGTGCCAGGGCTGTGCCAGGGCTGTGCCGGGGCTGTGCCGGGGCTGTGCCAGGACTGTGCCAGAGCTGTGCCAGGGCTGTGCCGGGGCTGTGCCAGGGCTGTGCCAGAGCTGTGCCAGAGCTGTGCCAGGGCTGTGCCAGGACTGTGCCGGGACTGTGCTGGGGCTGTGCCGGGACTGTGCCGGGGCTGTGCCAGGACTGTGCCGGGACTGTGCCAGGGCTGTGCCGGGACTCTGCTGGGGCTGTGCCGGGGCTGTGCCAGGGCTGTGCCAGGGCTGTGCCAGGGCTGTGCCGGGACTGTGCTGGGACTGTGCCAGGGCTGTGCCAGGGCTGTGCCGGGGCTGTGCCGGGGCTGTGCCAGGACTGTGCCAGAGCTGTGCCAGGGCTGTGCCGGGGCTGTGCCAGGGCTGTGCCAGAGCTGTGCCAGAGCTGTGCCAGGGCTGTGCCAGGACTGTGCCGGGACTGTGCTGGGGCTGTGCCGGGACTGTGCCAGGGCTGTGCCAGGACTGTGCCGGGACTGTGCCGGGGCTGTGCCAGAGCTGTGCCAGGGCTGTGCCGGGGCTGTGCCAGGGCTGTGCCGGGACTGTGCCGGGGCTGTGCCAGGACTGTGCCGGGACTGTGCCAGGGCTGTGCCGGGACTCTGCTGGGGCTGTGCCGGGGCTGTGCCAGGGCTGTGCCAGGGCTGTGCCGGGGCTGTGCCAGGGCTGAGCTCTGCACCCTCCTCGGCAGAGATGCTCCGGGGCAAGCGGGTGATCGTGACGGGAGCCAGCAGCGGCATCGGGGAGCAGATGGCGTATCACCTGGCACGGATGGAGGCACACCTGCTGCTCACGGCACGCACAGAGGCCAAGCTGCAGAAAGTAAATGGCGAGGGGGGCATGCTGGGCTGGATGTGATATTCACCCCAGCCCGGGCACAGGGGCACACCTGGTACCCTGCAGACCCACCCCAGGGCACACCTGGTACCTGCACATCCACCCCAGGGCACAGCTGGTACCCTGCAGACCCACCCCAGGGCACAGCTGGTACCCTGCAGACTCATCCCAGGGCTCCCCCAGCCCCAGCCCTGCCTGGCCCAGCACAGGAGCAGCCCGGACTGGGGTTCCATGCAGGTGAGTCCCTCCGAGCCCCTTCTCTCCCCAGGTTGTGGAGCGGTGCCTGGAGCTCGGCGCTGCCTCCGCCCGCTACATCAGCGGCTCCATGGCCAGCCCCAGCCTGCCCGAGGAGGTGCTCAGGGAGGCTGAGAACACCTGGGGTAGGTGCTCCCTGCCCAGCCCCGTGCAGCCCAGCCCCCGGAGGCGCTGGCCCCGTGGCTGGTGGCACAGCTGCTCTGCCCACAGGGGGCCTGGACATGCTCATCCTCAACCACATCGGCCAGAGCGGCTTCACCTTCTTCAGCGGGGATGTGGAGCACGTCCGCAGCCTCATGGAGACCAACTTTGTGAGCTACGTGGCGCTGGCCACGGCTGCCCTGCCCCTGCTGAGGGAGAGCGAGGGCAGCATCGTGGTGGTCTCATCCATAGCAGGTGAGCTCCTGCCCACGGCCCTTCCTCTCCTGCCACGGTCCCTGCTGAGACTGCTCCAAAAGGCACAGGAGGGACCACAGGCAGGGCAGGCACTCATGGGCAGCACGTTATTAACTCTGCACAACTCAAATCTCCCGGGAAATTTATCTCCTGTCCTGTCAGGCTCTTGGCACCCTCTGATCACCTTCCCACGCTGCAGTGCAGGTGATTTCACACTGAACACACATTGGCAATACCTGGGCATCTCTGCAGGGAAACAAAAGCTGCTCTGGAAGGCCCTTTGTGCCACAATTTGAACATTTCTGAGTGTGCTTTATCTCGCAGTTTATCCCAACACCCTACATCCCAGCACTGGAGATACTGGCAGGGCAAGAGGAAGGGAAGCTGTGCAGCCTGGTTCCTGCCCAGCACCTGATCCCTAGCCCTGTGTCTGCTCCAGGTAAAATTGCTGGCCCTTTTACTGCCCCCTATTCCGCAACCAAGTTCGCCCTAGACGGATTTTTCAGCTCCTTGAGGCAGGAGCTCATCATAGACAAGGTCAACGTTTCCATCACGCTCTGCATCCTGGGCTACATCAACACAGGTGAGCTCAGCCCTGCCAGGAACCCGTTCCAGCCCATTCCAGCTGACCCCAGCCCCTGTCCCTGGTGCCAGCCTGCTCTGCCACTGCTGCTGGAGCCGCCCCTGCCTCTGCAGCTGTGGGAACAGGACCCCAGCCCTCCCAAAAGTGAGCCCTGAGGCCTTGGACTCTGCCAGGCTCAGTGAACTCAGGGGTGGAAAGCAAAGGGAGGGGAAGGACATTTATAATTGTCATTGTCACTGTTCTGAGCCTCGTTAAGCAGTCTGATCCCAGAGTCTGTGTGTTTGGCTCTGTGGGTTTGGCTCTGTGGGTTTGGGGTGCCCCGGACCCCCCAAAGCCGATGGCGCTGTGTCCCCCCGAGCCGTCCCTGTCCCGTTGCAGAGAGCGCTGTCCAGGCCGTGTCCCACGTCATCCCCGACACCCCGGCCCCCAAGGAGGAGTGTGCCCTGGAGATCATCCGGGCCGGGGCCCTGCGCCGCCGGGAGCTGCGCTACCCCGGGCCGGCCGTGGGCACCGCGCTGCTCCTGCACGGCCTGGCCCCCGAGCTGCTGGAGGGGCTGCTCCGCCGCAGCTACCGCCTGGAGAACGTGCGGAGAACGTAGTGCCGGGCCTCGGGGACACCTGGGACACCTGGGGATGGGCTGGGACTCCTGGGCTGTGCTGGGACCCCTCGGCTGTGCTGGGACACCTGGGGATGGGCTGGGACACCGGGGACACCTGGTCTGTCCTGGTGCACTTGGGCTGTGCTGGGACACCTGGGGATGGGCTGGGACACCGGGGACACCTGGGACACCTGGGATGTGCTGGGACAGCTGGGGATGGGCTGGCACACCTGGTCTGTCCTGGCGCATTTGGGCTGTGCTGGGACACCTGGGCTGTACTGGCACACCTGGGGCCAAGCAGGATGGGTCTACCTGTGAGCCCAGCTGCTCAGGACAGGTCTGGCTAGGTGCCCAGCTGCTCGGTGCCCTCTCCACACCCTGGGGCATCCCTGCGCTGACGCCCTGGCAGCCTGGGGCAGGGCACTCCAGGAGTCTGTGAGGCAGCACAAAAATGTCCTTTTTAGCAATAAGCTCTTGTAAAGGGCTTTTTGCAGCCAGGAAGCGCTTCAGAGAAGGGCTGCAGCAGTATCTGCCCTGCCCAGCAGCGGGTTCCTGCTCACCCTGCAGACACTGTTCCCCTGGAGAGCCACCGAGGCAGCTCAGCTGAGCCCTGGCCCAGCACCAGGCTTTGGGCCAGGCAGCACAGAGCCCCCAAAGCCACGAGAGAGTCTCTGAATCTGGAGATTTCTGTCACACACCCCTTCCATGCCGGTCTTTGTAGAAATAAATCCAACGTTGCTTTGAGATCTCTGCTGTTCCGGGTGTTCCTTCTCCACGTGCACAGCCCTTATCAGGGCAGGGCGCCCTTATCAGCGCCCAGCTGGCTGAACCGACCTCCTCCCGATTTGCATTAACGCAGCTTTCACTTCTCTAAAGACCTTAATGAATTTCTGCCATTCCTGACCTCTCCTCAGCTGCCCAAACACGGGTTTTATTCCCCTTTCCAACCTGCAAGAAGCCTTGCAATAATAGCATTACTGTGCTTCCCCAAAGCCGCTCAGGGGAACTCCGTCCCCGAGTGCCACGGGCAGCTCCAGCTCCCCCTGAGCGTCACACGGCAGCACGGGGAGATGCCCGGGAGAGAACCGAGCTGCTGGTTCTGCTCGGGGCCGGGCTGGACCCTCGGCGCTCCTGAGATAAGCCCGACCCCGCTGGGCCAGGCCGCGGGCACAGACAGGAACCGGGGCCCGGCCGCAGCTGCAGCGTTTCCTGTTGCACAGAGCGAGCAGGAGAGCGCAGCATGAGCTGCCGGGCATGAGGAGGGCAGCTGGGGCGTGCTCCTGCCCTGAGACACCCGGCTGGGCACGGCACCCGAGGGGCAGGACAGGAGCCTGGCACAGGTAAGTGTGCGGCGCCCACCGCGCCAGCTCTGGGGCTGGCAGAGGCCAAGGGCAGCACCAGGCACCTTTTCCCTCCTTTTCCACCCCAATTTCAGCCTACACAACCGGCACTGGGGAGTTGTAACGTGAACCGGCAAGAAGCAGAGGGTTTTTCCTGGTTTCCCTTGGAGCAAGAGGTGTAAGGCTTGGAAAGCAAAGATAGAGGACAGGTCTAATTACAGAGGGTAATTTGGGGTAGCAGAAGGAGGAAATGGAGCATTGGCTTGTCAAGAAAGCCTGCAGGGTTTGCTCAGCCCCGGGTGAGTAATGGGTTGGGTTTCTCTAAGCTTTATCCTGCTTTTCAGTGCATTTTTGGTGAGCTGAGGCTTTTACAGCCCTGGGACGGGCTGGGCAAGGCAGAGGCAGCACAGGTGGGAGAGGAGTGAGCTTTTCCTGGTGGGAAGAGATGGATGAGTGGAGGCTGAGCAGAACACACAAAAACAGAGCAAAATAAGTTGAAAAATGCTCAGCTTTTGGAGCAGTGTCCTGGCTGGGGCTTGTGGGCACCTTCCCCACCCCAAAAATGCTGCTCACATTGAAAGGAGACCCCTACAGTAAAAGAAAGCACCAGGAATGAGCTCTGAGCACCCCACAGCTACCATCAGGACAGTGTAAAGAATTTCAGAGCAGATTTTATACAAACTAAACAGCATGGGACTACCCTGGATGTAACTGGCGCTCCAGAAGCACTGCCCCACACCCACAAACCCCAGCACTGGCTGAATTTCACTGATCCCCCGTGTTCTGGGCTCTTTCCCAGGGCACAGCCCCCAGGGACGGGGCCGGCATGCCCAGGAGGGCAGAGAGCTACGAGGAGAGGAGCGAGCGGCGGCAGGAGGCGCGGGAGCGGCTGCGGGGCAGGGTCAATGCCACCTGCTGCAGGGTCAATGCCACCCGCTGCAGGGCCACCGTCCCCCCGGGCCGGGCCACGGCCACCAGCCCCCGGCAGGCCGAGTTCCTCCGCAGGAGAAACCTGGGCCCCGAGGCCGGGCAGGCCCTGCCGGGACAGGGACGGACGCGCTCGCCGAAGGGGGACAGCCACAGCCACAGCCCCTCCTGGGGGGCATCGTCCCCACGCTGTCCCCTGGCCTCCACAGGGACACAGACCCTGCCCGGCTCGGCACTGACGGACTCCAGCCAGCAGACAGAGTGAGCGGCTCTGCCCTCCCTGGCCGTGCCCAGAGTGCTCCCACGGAGGCTGCACAGACAGAGCTGGGGAGGGGTGTCCAGCTGGAGACCCTCCCTCAGTAACGCTCTTTGTTTGTCGTTGCAGCTGGGGAATAGCAGTTTTAAACAAGGTAAGCAAAGCGCGGGTGGTGGAACTCCTGAAAGGTAAACTGCTGTGGGAATATTTCCACTTCCCTGGAAAAACTAACCCAATGGACCCCCGCAGGCTCTCCTTCTCCACCCAAACATAGGCTGTTAATTCACTTTTATTTAAAAATATTTAGTTTTTTGTAGCAAGTTCATGCCATGTTTGTAAACTGAAACAATCCTATTATTAAACACCTGCCCTTTCCCTTTCAGGAAATGGTGCAGCTCTCCAACTACCTGAAGGTAGGTACCAAACAGTGCTCAGCACCCACTGGGACAGCTGGTTTTCACCAAGAATAATGCTTATTAAAATTATTAATATTGCTGAATGAAGGGGTGTTAAAAGCCCAATTTTAACATGGCCAAAAAAGCCAACAGACCCCAAAGACCTGGAGCCCAGGCAGGGCCAGCCCTGGGCTGGGGGCTCTGGGCTGGGGCTCTGGGCTGTGCCCCAGCTCTGGCCCCACTGACCGTGTCCCTGTCCCACAGGAGGCCCTGCACCGCGAGCTGCTGCTCAAGCAGAAGATGGTCATTTTACAGGAGCTCCTGTCCACCCTGCTGCAGGCTTCAGAGAAATCCTGGCAGGTACCAGAGAGCTGCAGGACCCCCCATCACCTCCCCTGCTCAGGGAGGGTGGGACAAACAGCAGAAAAGGCCCTTTTTGTCTTCTATGAGGATGCAAAATTAAGATGATGCATTTTGTGTGATATATGAGGCTTTCTGATAGGATCCTTAAACAATTTGTGCTGTTGTGGCATTTAAAAAAGCGTGGTTTGAAAGTTCTGTTGGGGCAGAGAAGCGAGTGATTGGGTGAGGGGGGACAAAAACTTGTGTTAGACACATCCTGTGGTGAGAAACTTCCGCCTTTGCTCGCCCCTCCAATATAACGTGAGCAGGAAAAAACAGCCAGCCACAGGTGCAGGAAGTGGCCACGAAACCTCAGAATACCAACAGGTGGGTGCTCCTTGCTGCTCGCTGCCCTGTGCAGGACAGGAGAGACTTTGCTGCTGCCTCTTGCTTGCTGCTGTTCCTCAGCCTAAAAATCAGCTTTTCATTGGCCTAAAATCAGCTTTTTATTGGCCTAAAAATCAGCTGTACCTCAGCCTAAAAATCAGCTTTTCATTGGCCTAAAATCAGCTTTTTATTGGCCTAAAAATCAGCTGTACCTCAGCCTAAAAATCAGCTTTTCATTGGCCTAAAATCAGCTTTTTATTGGCCTAAAAATCAGCTGTACCGCAGCCTAAAAATCAGCTTTTCATCAGCCTAAAAATTGCTGTTCCTCAGCCTAAAAATCAGCTTTTCCTCAGCCTGATAATCCCCTTCATGCTGGAGCCAACAGGCAGATGCTGCTGCTGGGAGGGGATTCTGTGAGGCAGGTGGGGCTGGCAAAGGGAGGGATGGATGGATGGATGGATGATGGATGGATGGATGGATGGATGGATGGATGATGGATGGATGGATGGATGGATGGATGGATGATGGATGGATGATGGATGGATGGATGGATGGATGATGGATGGATGATGGATGGATGGATGGATGATGGATGGATGATGGATGGATGGATGGATGGATGGATGGATGGATGATGGATGGATGGATGGATGGATGATGGATGGATGATGGATGGATGGATGGATGGTGGATGATAGATGATGGCACAGCCACATCTGTGCACAGCTGGAACCTGTGCAGACAGCAGAGGAAGAGAGCTGAGGAAAACCAGGCAGAACACTGCACATCTAAAATTGCTTTTCAAAATTCCACCTATGCACTAAGAGCCTTTAGCTCTTTGCACCAACAGCTGAACTGGGAAGATGGAGTCCTTGGGACTGTAAATGTGCTTCTGTGCAAGTTTAACCAGCGCTGAGACACCGGCAGCCTGGTTTGCTCGGCTCTGTCAGCTATTCCTGTAACACCGGGGAGTTTCTTGTCAGAGTCGTGACTTCAGACGGCAGTGGGCACAGAAGATATTGGTGTTCTCAGTACTGGTGGTGGAAACCAGCCCACGTGAACTCTTTGCTAGCAGTGTTATGTGGATTTGCATGCAGTCTGCTTGCACAGGGCCTGAGCAGCCTGACTAACACCGAGAGGAGCCGATGACAGTGAGGAAAATGAATCATCCCCGTGCCCAAATGCAGATGTTGCGACACAGAGCCAACCCATTTTCTAAGGAAAACAGGCAGCCAAGAGCGTTCCAGCAGCTGGAGCTCGAGGCAGGGAGGGAGGGCACAGAGAACAGTGGGGACAGGCAGAGCTGCATCTCTGCCAAAGCCAGCCACAACAGCCCAAAACCCCCTCGCTCCTAACTTGTCATGTCACTGCCAGCACCTGCACTCAGTAACCAGAGAAACCCCTCAGGACAGGTTCTTAATCCATAAAAGTGCCACTTCCCCCGTATCCCATTTATTCTGAGGCTGGGAAGGTTTCCTTGAGCTCTCAGCACTGAAGAGACTTTGATCTGATTACAGATAAAGGGAGAAAATGAGCCAAAACACAAACCCAGCAAAACTTTGGGGGCACATTGTGCAGTTCATGATTTCACATCTCACTTCAACTGCTTTTCCCCAGGGCCAGCTGAACGAGGACAAACTGAGGTGTAAACTGCGGGTGCTGGAAAATCAGCTGCAGGCCTGCAGCCAGGTAATGTCTGCTTCACTGACATACACGGGTGAGGAAAGGCAGGAAAACAAAAACCAAGCCTTGTCACTGGGCCGGGCCTCAGTTTCTCCATCAATCTGATGAGATACCGATCCAAAAAGGACTTTAACTCTTTGCTGAAGCAATGCTTCACAGCACATTAGCAGCAGCATTGACACACTCTGGGTTTGCTAACACTCATATTTAGCAAGGTGAGAATCTGACACATAAAGCACCTCAAGCTCTTTCTTTGTTTCAAGAGTTACTCAAAGGAGTGCGTGAAGAAGATCCTGATCGAGATGGAGGACCAGAAGCAGACCTATGAGCAGAAGGCAAAAGAGGCTCTTCAGAAGATGCTGGAGGAAAAACTCCTGACAGAGCAGCAGCTGCAGAACTCTCAGGTGAGCACTATGTCTTACACCTGGCTTGGCTTTAATTTAGCCCAGCTGTGACAAAGAAAACCCACAGGGAAAGGGAAAGGTGATGACAGGCTTGCCATCAGCAGCAAAGATAAAAAAATATGAAGTTTTAGCTACTCAGCAAAGCCCAAAGCAGCTTTAGTGCAACCTGTACTCACTCCAAAAGCTGCACACCAGGTTACAGACAGCTCACAGCTGGGGAAGTGTACTCGGGTTTGTCAGCTCCAATTGCAATCCCTTCCCTCCCACCATCCCTCTGGGCCATTCCTGCCCTGCTCACACCATCAGACACCGGGCCAGAGGTCTCCAGAGCTGTTTTTTTCTGCAGTTGCTCATTTATATGAAAATAGGATTTCCCCAAGAGGCAGCAAATTGCTTTGACCCACAGGATAACATATCTGCAGAAAGACAAGTGAGCTTTACCCCAAGTACCAGCGGGCTCCTCCAGCCTGCTGGCAGCACAGGAACGTGTTCCAGAGGGAGCCCTGCCCTGCTTGGCTCTGTCCATCAGATGGCATCAGCCCCACACGGGTGTTTGTGTGCTGCTGCTGCTGGGGGAGCCAGCACAGCCCGGCTGGTGGCACCAGGGCAGGCTGGCAGCATCCTCCGGGGCCGGGGGCACGCTGGGGCCTGGGTCACAGCCAGCCCTGGGTCACACTGACCCCAGGGTCCCTCTCTGCTCCCCAGAGAAGCCTGGCAGAGATGCGAGAGGACCTCGCCCTGTGGAAGGAGCACAACGCCACACTCAGAGCCGAGCTGACCAAGGAGACCACAGCACACACCGAGCTCCGAAACAGCTTCCAGGCTCTGCAGAGCGAGCTGCAGGTACGTGGGCTCCCTGCAGGAGCAGCCCGCTCTGGGATTTTGCTGCTGCCGGGTGCCCAGAGCAGCCCTGGCTGCCCCTGCATCCCAGGGGGGTTAATCCGCATTCATATGGGGATAGTTTTTCTGAGTTGGGCGTTATGTGGGGATAGTTTTTCTGAGTCGGGCGTTATGTGGGGATAGTTTTTCTGAGTCAGGGGTTATTTGGGGATAGTTTTTCTGAGTCGGGCGTTATTTGGGCGAGTCAAATGTTTAGTGAAGTTAGGAGGATGTGCAGGGTCAGTGATAGGGCCAGTGTGAATAGGATTATGCTTATTACTCTTCTCTGGGTTCAAACCAGATTCTAAGGATTGGAAGTCGATTGTAATTAATATACTAGAAGAGTGAGATCCTCATCAGTGCCATAGAGATGTAGAGGGATAATCGCACGGGCCGGGCTGGACGCTGGGGCTGGGGCAGTGGGAGGCCGTGCGGGGGCAGCACGAGGACAGCTGTGAGCCCAGCCAAGCCTGCCCGCTGTGTGTCTGTGTGTCTGTCTGTCTGTGTGTGTCTGTGTGTGTGCCTGTCTGTGTGTCTGTGTGTGTGCCTGTCTGTCTGTCTGTGTGTCTGCCTGCCTGTCTGCCTGTCTGTGTGTCTGTCTGTCTGTGTGCCTGTGTCTGTCTGTGTGCCTGTCTGTGTGTCTGTGTGTCTGTCTGTGTGCCTGTCTGTCTGTGTGCCTGTCTGTCTGTGTGTCTGTCTGTCTGTCTGTGTGTCTGTGTGCCTGTCTGTCTGTGTGCCTGTCTGTCTGTGTGTCTGTCTGTGTGCCTGTCTGTCTGTGTGCCTGTGTCTGTCTGTGTGTCCGTCTGTCTGTCTGTCTGTCTGTGTGTCTGTGTGCCTGTCTGTCTGTATGCCTGTCTGTCTGTCTGTCTGTCTGTGTGTCTGTGTGCCTGTCTGTCTGTGTGTCTGTCTGTGTGCCTGTCTGTCTGTCTGTGTGCCTGTGTCTGTCTGTGTGTCCGTCTGTCTGTCTGTCTGTCCCGGCGCAGCGGGCGGACGCGCAGAGCCAGCGGCAGAGCCGGGAGCTGCGGGCGCTGCGGGACGAGCGCACGGAGCTGCTGCAGACAGCCGGCGCCCTGCGCAGCGACAACGACCGCCAGGCCGCCCTCATCCGCCGCATCCAAGGTACCGGGGCCGCCTGTGCCCTCCGGGAACCGCCAGGGGCCCGGGGAGGGCTCCCGGAGCGCTCCACAGGGCTCGGAGCGGCGTGCGCACCACGCTCGTTCCAGCACGCCGCACATCTCAGCGTGCCACCGGGGCCGCTGATTGCCACAGCCCTCCAAAACTGTTCCTGGCCGGATTAAAGAGTTCAGGGAAGTGGCTTTGCCAGAGGAAAGGATGTGATGGGAGACCTGAAAAGAAATAAAAAGCTGAGATATGTCCTCAGCTTGAGGCAGGACTTGCCACCCTGGGCAGAGCATCAGCCCCGGTGCTGGGTGGTGAGGGCAGACAGAGGAGCTGGTAATGTCCTAAAGCGCCGCTTCAGACACAGCGAGGGAACTCACGCACGTTATTTTGAACTCACACTCGTTATTTTGAACTCACACACGTTATTTCAAACTCACACATGGCTATTTTAAAACATAATTAGGGAAGAGAAAGCGGGTTGCAGTTCTAATCTCGTAACAGGTCTTGCATGAACAGCTTTAAAATAAACCATAAATGACTTGAATACGAGGCTCGAGAGAAAAAGCTGCCAAAAAAGAAAGAGTAATAAACAGCTAAAAATCACATCCCTTCAGAGAAGAAAGTCCAGGGCAGCCAAAAACATCTGCTCCACTCTACACATGTGGAGAACAGAAAATACCACCCTTGCATAAATCTACAGAGAGATTTATACCAACCTTGATCTTCTATCCTTATTTCAGATAAATTGCAAAAAGAACAAGAGCAGAAAGTGACACTGGAGGCAACAATCAGCCATTTGCAGAGTAAGTAACACAGAAATGCACAAAGATAGAGGTCTCCTTTAGTGCTGTGGACAATGATATTGCTTTTTGTGTTCCCAGACGTGATCCACAACCAGAACAACCAACAGAAGAGCCAGGAGGTGACGGTGCAAAGGACAGGTCAGCAAACTTTGTAACCCCCACGTAGCACTCCCTGGACACACGAACACTAGCCCTGACCCTAGGAAAAGTCTGCAGTGGTCTAGAATAAAAGGTTATTTTAAAGCTACACAGAATGAATTGTTTTGCTAGCTAACATTAAAACTATAAACATATTTATGATGGCAAACACTTTAAAAAATAAATGGATTTCACTGCAAATTCTACTTCAGTGGCTCCACCATATTTTTTCCAAACAAAACACATTCCAGTTTATAATTGCAATTAGAGCTGTACTTGACAAAAAGAAAGCAATAAAAAAGGCATTTTAACTCTCCCTCCCCTCCGTTTCTGGCAACTGTTTAGAAATATTGCTCTTAAGATGATGAACTTGTAGCTACAGCAGAGACAGTGATAACAAACTCAGCTCCTGTGTCTTCTGCTTGGTGCATAGCACACCAATGTTATCCCTGAAGTGTGCTGAGTAAACAAGAGCTAGAGCCAGCCCAGAGCCTGGAGCTGTTTCTCATCAGAAGCCTGACTCTTTTCTAGACCAGGTTTCCACCACACAGACCCCACCTCCCACTCCTGCCAAGGAGAAACAAAACGCTCTGTCAGAGCAGCCCGAGGAGGAGGAGGAGGAAACAGAAAGTGTGAAGGATGAGATGCAGAAAAGGACACCCCAGCTCACAGCAAAGGAGAACGAGGTGAGGAAGGCACTCAGCAGAATCACCAAAGCTCCTGCAGGTGCCCAGGCCTGGCTCCTGTAAGGATTACCTGCCCCAAGTCTTATCCTGACCCCCTGATGAAGGCCCTGCACACAAGGGCAGGGTGCAGCAGCCTGGGCTGCAGGAGCAGAGCTCTCCCTGTACAATCCCCCTGCTCTCACAGACAGGAGAGCCTCAGCAGCCCCACAGGGAAAAGCCAAAGCCACGCTTTCAGAACCAAGCCCCTGAGCATAAAGGAAGGAGAGGAGGAAAGGAAAATGCTTGCAATAATAACAACAATAAATATAACAGCAAGGCTCTGCTAACAGAAGCAATGCCTGTACAAATGGGCTGCAAGAAAACCCAAAAAGCCAAAGCCTTTTACACACAATTTGCCATCAAATCAGCCTTCTGCCAACCAACAGCCCCTCAATTCTTATAGCAGTGTTCAGCCAGCAAGGATCTATTAAAAAGGACTTATAAAAGAATAATTTATAAAAGAGCTTGTGCTGTGACTGCTGGCAGCAAAGCAGGCAGGTGTGGGAAGCTGGCAGTGCCCCAGCACTGTGCCCTGAGCTGTGCCCTGTCCCTGCAGGTACCCAGCTGCAGTGACTCTGAGCTGTGCCCTGTCCCTGCAGGTACCCGAGGATGCTCAGCAGAGCCGTGCCCAGCTGCGGGTGAGGCGCTGCAGCCACTGCAGCAGCCCAGCAGCCCTGGGGGCACACAGAGCCCAGGGGACCCCTCCTGCTGACAGCCCCTCGCTGTGCCTGCAGTGCTCGGAGCTGCGCTCGGAGCTGGAGGCGCTGAGCCAGGAGTACCAGTGGTGCCTGACCCGGCTGCGGCAGTGCCGCGACGAGCTGAACCGCTCCCAGGGCAGCCAGGCTCAGGTGGGAGCTCCTGCCCGACCCCAGTGCTGCACACTGCCTGGGACACGTCCCCTCCTCTGTGCCCTGTCCCCCCTCTGTGCCCTGCACACTGCCTGGGACACATCCCCTCCTCTGTGCCCTGCACATCGGCCTGGGACAGTTCCCCTCTCTGTGCCCTGTCCCCCCTCTGTGCCCTGCACACTGCCTGGGACAGTTCCCCTCTCTGTGCCCTGTCCCCCCTCTGTGCCCTGCACACTGCCTGGGACAGTTCCCCTCTCTGTGCTCTGTCCCCCCTCTGTGCCCTGCACATCGGCCTGGGACAGTTCCCCTCTCTGTGCCCTGTCCCCCCTCTGTGCCCTGCACACTGCCTGGGACAGTTCCCCCCTCTGTGCCCTGTCCCCCCTCTGTGCCCTGCACACTGCCTGGGACAGTTCCCCTCTCTGTGCCCTGTCCCCCCTCTGTGCCCTGCACACTGCCTGGGACAGTTCCCCCCTCTGTGCCCTGTCCCCCCTCTGTGCCCTGCAGAGAGCACGTTTGCTAGGGCTGCCATGGAAGTGGCATCCCCCAGCACACTCCCAGTAACACAAGCTTCTCCTGGCAGAGACAGCGCAGCCCCTGGATCCCTCTCCTGGTGGCAGTGGCAGCAGTGGCCATCGCCGCCTTCCTGGCGACGTACAGCCTGTGAAGGAGCTCCCCGATGACTGACTTCACTGCAGGAACTGACCTCTGCTTCACCAAGAGCAACCTGACCTGACCTGACCTGACCTTCTGCTGTTTTGTGTGTGCACATTGGGTTTGTACCCCGAGCTGGTGTCACTCCAGCCAGCTCCTGAGAGCACGGGGACATCACCCCTTCCCTTGGCTGCTGGTGTCACTCTATCCTGAGCTGATGTCACTCCAGCCAGCTCCTGTGAACACAGGGACATCACTCCTTCCCTTGGCTGCTGGTGTCACTCCAGCCAGCTCCTGTAAGCACAGGGACATCACCCCTTCCCTTGGCTGCTGGTGTCACTCCAGCCAGCTCCTGTAAGCACAGGGACATCACCCCTTCCCTTGGCTGCTGTGGTTGCTCTGTTACTGCCAAAGGCTGCCCTGCCCAGCCGTGAAGATCCGAGGGACAAAGCCCCTGTCAGGATGAGAGGGACAGGGCATCCTGTGCCTGTGGCATCCAGCCTGCCTGGGGTTTATACCCCCGAGTTCTCCTCCTGTATTTATTGCCTCCCTAAAAGGGAGGTACTCGATCTTGGGCCATCTCTACTTTTACCTGACAAAGGAACCCAACCCAGGGGGGCTCCTCAGCACAGCCCCCTCACACCCACTGCTCTGTCCCACTCCTCCAGCCTCCCTCGTGGCCGAGCATCCCCACAGCCACACCTGCTTCCCATCACTGCCAGCACCACAAGAATTCATCAGAGACACGGGTTTAAAGTCCCTTTTGCAGCTGCACCGTGCAGGTTTTACAGCAGAACGTGCCCATCATTCATGTGCAGGCTCAGACACAATGACATCACCTCCCATGGAAGTAAATATACCTGAAATATACACGTAATGTACACGTAGTAAACACACATGGAGCCTACAATAAACTTCACTAATTCACAGCACCCTGGTGTTCAAATCATTTATTCATCTTCAGCTGCCCACTGCAAATAAACACACACTGACTTTGCAGGGTGTGATGTGCAGGCAGGCAGGACTGAGGCAGCAGAGCATCTGGGAGCACACTTTTTTTTTAAAGAAAATGTATTTGGTTTTGCCACCGGCCTGCGGTGACTGTAACAATTCAGCCTTCAGTGCTCAAGGCCCACGAGAGACGCAGGGGACAACACACACAGGGAGCTGGATCTTCTGCCTTGGTCCCTGATGCAGTGAGGAAGGCTAAAACGTCTGAGAACACACGTGCTTCACAAGGCGACCGCTGGAAGAGACACGACCTCGCTGGAAATGCAGAGATCTACAAAGTCGCTCTGAGCACCGAAAGCCTCCCTGAGCTGCCGGCACCAGGCATCCAGCACGTCCCGGAGCTCGGCGCACAGGCTCTCGGGGACGCTGAAGGAGCAGATCTGCACCCGGAGCCCGTCCTTGATGCGGGGGCAGCGGGCCCGGGCCGTGAACACCCTCAGCGGGGTGAGCGCCAGGCAGTTCTCGGCGCCCTCGGCGAAGGTGTACACGGCGGGGTAGCCCAGCAGCAGCCCGGCCACGGTGCACAGGTTCCAGCCGCCGGGTTCCACCTCGCTGGCGGTGACCGGCTCGGCTCCGGCGGCCTCGGCGTCCCGCAGGTGGCCCAGCAGGGCGGCGAGGTGGCGGCGCACGGCCCGGGCCTCGTCAGGGCCGCAGAGCGCCGGGCCCCGCCGCGCCGCCGACACATCCACGAGCGGCGGGGACCGGTCCCGGAGCCGGTCCCGGGCCGGCCCCGGCCGCAGCACCAGCGCCGAGCCGCCCACGGCCAGCACGTGCAGCCGCTCCGCGGCCAGCCCGGCCTCCCGCAGCCGGCCCAGGTAGCGCCGCAGCTCGGCCGGGCCCGCGGGGCCGCAGTCCCACAGCAGCGCCGGCTTCAGCCCCGCCGCCACCGCCAGCACCTCCCCGGCCGCCTGCAGCGCCCGGGCCGCGGGCAAACGCCGCCTCCGGCCGGGCCCCTGCGCCTCCCGGGCCGCCGCCACCAGCAGCGGCACCGGCAGCGCCGCGGGGCCCGGCGCCATCGGCGGAACCCGCCGCGGTTCCGGGGCGGGCCCGAGATCGGCCCGGCCCCGGCAGAGCCGCCTCCTGCGGGGCGGGACCGCCTCCACGCGGCCGGGGGAAGGATCGGGAGAAGGGCTGGAGTGGTGGCATGGCCGGGAGAAGGACCGGGAGAAGGGCCGGGGCAGCGCCATGGCCGGGGGAAGGACCGGGAGAAGGGCCGGGGCAGCGCCATGGCCGGGGGAAGGACCGGGAGCCGGGCTGGGCACAAAGCAGGGCACAGGGACAGTGCCCGCAGCCCGGGCACAAAGGGCACAGGGGCAGTGCCGAGCCGTGCTGGGAGCCGCTGACAGCTCTGTACCAGCACTGACTGCTCACAGTTGTACAGATCTGAACAATCAGCCCCCAGCAGACTAGAGGAGCTCCAGAGGTCCCTTCCAACCCCATTTTGTTATATATGCATTTACAATGCTGGCATATATGCATCCCTATAAGCCTCTCTCCCCACTAAAAGGAGTTCAGCCTTTGAGGTTGCTGCTAGAGCCCTGTTAAAGAGAAAAAAATGAGACAAGGTGATATTGTCCAGGCAGATTTAATAGAGCACAGATTATTTTCTTTCTCTCCTTCCAATGATCAAGTGTTTATATACATTGTATTATAGCAGATTAAAAAATATTACAGAATTGAAATCTGATGTATACAGAGGAGTTGTTTAAGCAAACAGCTGAAAAGGGTGAAGGAGTTAGAAGCATTCCTGTAATCCCCTCTGTTTTGAGCCACATCCAAAACAAAAGCACAACGAATTGCTGGAATTGTAGAAGATGACCAGATGTTATTTATTCAGACTGAGGCAAGGCACAGGTTAAGAAGCACTCCGGTGTATGTACACGGCCAGAAGGCAGGGCCATCACTGTGCTGGGAGCGGCTGTGCCATGTGCATGGCCGGGGCCTGCATGGGCCAGCCCTCCTGGTGGTTCTGCAGCAGGCGGTAGAGCTGCTTCAGGTGTGCCACGATGTTGTCCTTGATGTCGGGCGTGGAGATCTGCAGCCGCACGCTGCCGCTGTCGAAGGAGCGCGTGAAGTCCCCGGAGAACATCTCGTAGATCATCCGCGCCACAACGGGGATCACCTGGTGAAAAAGTCCCTTTTTCAGCCTAAAGGCATGTGGAATGGCCCTGTTTCTCTGCAGGAGCCCCTGTCCTGGATGCAGAGAAGGTTTCCACAATACCCTAAAACACACAAACCAATTCTTTTCAGCACATGTCACATTTGTGTTTGCTCTCCCAAACCACCATATTTACTGGAGTTTCCCCGGTGTCAGAAGCCACAGCAGAAAATAACAGATCTCAGTATCCAGGGGAATTGATCCCAAACCAAACAAGGCTGGCATATGTCACCCCAGAGCCCCAGTGCCCTACCTGCACCACGATCAGCTTCCTCTCCCTGGGTTTTCCATCGGGCCACTCTTCTCCAAAGCAGAAGTAGATTTCGTATGGTGGCTGTTTCTCAATTTGTCCCTTCTGATGGGCAATCAGCTCTAGGAGGAAAAGCAGAGTGCTGCAGGGTTGTCCTCTTTAGGCTGGAAACACCCATGACATCCCACCTCATTGCATCACCCCGGCCTTACCTACACAGTCCTCTGGCACCTCTCACACAGTTACAGCTCAGCCCTTGCACGTGAAGTGCTTTCTTTAAAAGCAAGGCCCTCTGACGTCTCTCAGAGCGTTAAATGAGTGCACAGTGCCCTTCTCCTGCCCCACACTCACTCCAAACTCCCCTGAAGTCAGAGGAGCAGTGGCCCCGACCTGCTGTCCACACCTGGTGCACCCAGGCAGAGCCCAGCGCAGACCACCCTTTCCAACAGCGCCATGCCCGGTGTCCAGAGCTGTTCTCCACAAGCAGAAGTCACCTACCGCTTAGGAAGGTTTCCAGACAGAAGAGCTTGACCTTCTTTTGCCTCTCGATGAGGTTTGGGGTGGTGGAGGAGGGCGCACAGGGCCCAGACCAGTACACCTTGCACTGGCAGAGGCGCACGGCGTAGATGGCGTGGCCGCTGACCTCCAGGATCAGTCCCCTGTCCATTACATCCAGCAGCCGGCTCGTGAAGATCTTCTGCCTCTCGTTGGTGATCTGCTCCGTCCCTGGGAACTTGACTTGCTCCAGGCTGATGGGCCCAAAGAGCTCCTCCTGGTCTGGCATAGGGCCCAGCTCTCCATAGAAAAGTCTGCAGCCCTGCGGGTTGCTCACGGTCGTTGTGGGCCCGGTCTCCTTTCCTCGATACTCAAACTTGATTTCCAGGTCTGTCACTGAGAGAGAAAGCACCAGTGTGGTTTTTCCTGGAGCACCAGCACAGGGACACCACACAAGCCCCGTTGCCCTCACAGGGATGTTTAAACCACACACAATTCTATTTAAGCTGTACAAGTTCTCCTCGCTCGCTCACAAACAGCCACAGGAAAAAAGGCAAAACACTATTTTCTGTGGGGTTTTAAAGCACAAAAGCAGAAGCACTGTCACAAGCCCACACACATACTTGGCAGGGAGCTGATCCAGAGCTCGGGGCTGCTGAAGAAGTCGTGCTGCAGCACCGTTGGGGGCATTTCCATATCCAGAGGTTCATTCTTTGGCCACACAGTTTCAGAGCTGCAGTTTTCTGCACTGGCTGGAGCCATCGGAGAATCTACAAAAAGGCAACAACTCCTCAATAAATCAAGATTTTACTTCAAGCATGCAGCAACTTACAAATACCTTCACTAATACATCAGTCTGTGCCACCAACCATTGATATTGAGAAATGGAAATGTCTCTTGAATTGGGACATGCTGAGATTGATTCAATTCTTCCTCCTCTTCATCATCAAGATCATTATCCTTTTCATCCCACGGAGCTGAGCCAGTGGAACCTGCAAACAAGCACATTCTTGTGGGTGGATGATCAGCATGAAACACTGGCAAAAGATCATCTTCACACTGGATATTAATTTGCATATTTTTCAAATTCCAGTAAAAAATTATAAACCTGATCCATACAGCACGCTAATTTCAGTTTAATATATAATTCTAGAAAGAGAAGGTTAAGTATTGATGAGGTAAGACACAGTGTTGCCAATATTAGGCTGTTTAGCAGGAAAACACACAACTGTGTGCAGCTTTATTAATTTCAGGACTAAAGGATGGTTCAGAGTGCTTGTAGTTTAGGTACAGGCTTCACCTGGGAGCTGCTCCTGCTGCACAAGGGCAGCTGCAGAGTTAATGCCGAGGGAAGGAGCTCCCTTGGATCCACGCCTGCCCAGGAGCCAGCCCAGGAGCCAGCCCGTGGCAGCAAGGCTCTCACCTGGATTAATGATTGATCCCTGCGACTGCGGGATGTCGCACACTTCATAAATTTTAATCGGGTTCATGGGCACCTCCTTGGTGCCATCGTACATCAAATTAAACTCCCGGCTCTTGTTGAGTGCACATCGCAGCTGGGCTTTCCACTTTGCAGGGTCTGGCTCGTCCACTCCTTCCTGGTACTTTCCTGTTTCCACGGCCCATGCCTGGGGACAAAGTACAGCCAGCTCAGGCCAGCCCTCCCCACAGAGCAGCTTTTATCAGAAACCAAACCTCCACACAAATGCACTGTAAAATCCTTCTCTTGCAGGAGTCCTAGGTAGAGCTCTTGTGATAACGAAAAAGGAAATTCCCACTTTAATAGTTTTTCTATTAAAATAAAGTGGAGAAAAAAAAAAAGTAAATCCAAATTCCAAAAGAATGTTCACAATTCTGGGTTAGAGGTTTTGTAGGTCTCAGATTCAACACCAGAAGTCATTTTTGACAGGGAGCCTGTGCAGGAGGAATGGACTTGGTTAAAATGGAGTGGAAGCACAGCCACAGACATCCGGCTGGCCTCTCCCTCTCTCACCCCAAAATCTGATTATTGGTCCAAGATGCCTCCAAGACAAAGGTCAGAAATTCCTCAAAGGAGCGCAGGGAGTTACAGCGAATCCCTTGGGATAAGAATATTAGGGACAGTGGCGATGAGTGCTTGTGATGAGCTTGTGGTGGACCTCTTAAGGCTTATGTAACAGCATTTCATGGTTTGCTGCCAGGAACAAGCCAGTGACCACATCCCAGCCCGAGCAGATGGAGCCAATAGCAATCATCTCCCAGAAACCAAGGATCACACAGCACCCTGCCTTTGGTGGTGGGAAAGGGTTAAAGAACTCAACACCACCCCAGGCAGTGCCAAGCTTCGCGTCCAGGTGCACAAAGTGGCTTTTCTGAGGTCAGATAAATGAAATGTGCCTGCAGACAGCTCCCGAGACGCCTGTCCAGCTCCGGGCCAACAATCCAGCCCTTTGTGTGTGTTCCAGAGCCCTGGGATGCCCGAGCCGCCCCGGCTCACCTTGAAGATGGTGTTCTCCTCCTCGTGCTGGGGGCTGTGCCGCGTCGCGTGCTTCCAGGGGATCTGGAAGCGCTTGGCCTCGCGGTTCAGCCAGATCAGCCCGGGGTACATGCCACTGTCCACCTGGGCCACCAGCCACGGCTTCAGCCGCACCCTGCGCGGGTGGAGGGCCATGCTCTGCAAGGGGGACAGCAGAGCCATGCTGGAGGTTACTCGAGCCTCGTTGGCTTCAAAGAGCCTGAACTGATGTAATGAGAAAGGGCCCTGTGCTGGGTAACTGCTGCTGGGTTTATGTACTGCACCCTGAGAGCACCAATTCAGGTTCAGCTGGGCGACTCCTCTGCCGGGGAGAGTCACACACACCTCCCTGAGGGGGCCCAGAGCTGTTTCAGGGACGGCAGCCCACATTCAGTGTCCCAGGGTGTTATTTGTGCTCGACGAGCGCACGGAGCGCCAGCCCTGAGCAGAGCTGGGCCGCAAACCCCGAGCAGGAGATAAAGGCACCAACAAGCCACAGCAAGAACAGGCAGCAGAGTTTCCAAAGCCTCCACGCACACCTTGAGAAGGGGCTGATCTGATCTCTGCTCCTGCAGTCCTGTCAGACTCTCAGCGAGGAGGAGAAAGGCTCACCCTGACT